CGAGTTGCTTTAGATTCGATACTCGTATCACGATGGGTACTCGATTCTTTGAGTGTTGTCGTGTTTGTTTCTTAAAATTGCTTCGACTGATTTCAGAGTTTAAATGGGGGGGGGGGTTCTGAGGTTGCTGAATTATGACGCGTTTCTCCCTCTTTGGTTCTAAATCTTATAGCTTTATGGAATATGCTTTTGGGTTTTTGCCATTGCTTCCTTTTCCTTTGTGTTTTTAATAACTGTTTTCTTTACCTCAAATTCACTCTTCCTTTTTGTTTTCGTAGCCCTGTGATTTTTATGTGTGTTTGTTTGACCACCAAAGATGAAGCCTGTTTCCTTGAACATGTGATTTGTGCTTACTGGATTACTATATCATGCCTTTCACTTGAGTCTTTCTAATCAGGGACATGGTTGCTTTTTCCTTCCCTTTCAAGTATGAGCTAAAAAAAGAATTATACTTGAGATTCGTCATTAAATAATAGGGTTTTTGCATTGTTACTTTCTCTTGTTTGACTAGTGAAATGAAATCCCTTGGTAGGCTTTGTTGAATATCAGTGGATGCATATAAATTCTGCTGTTTACTGTTAATGTATAATGTTTTTGAATTTCGGATTAAGAATCTTTAATCAGTTTAAAAATCTTGTTTGATTGTTTGCTTGAGCTTCTTATGTATTCTTGTTATGCCTATAGATGCGTATTATGACTGATATTTGGTGTATTGAGTTTCAGATTCAAGTTTCTCCACTGAAACCCACAAAGTAAAAAGTCTTACTTTCTTAACAAGAAGAAGCTATGTACCCGGAAGGATCCCCTGAGTTTGTAATTGACCAAGGATCAATGTACTATCCTACTGCAACCAACTTTGGCTATTATTTTACTGGTAATTTAAGCGGCTTTAGCTTAATGTTCATGGCTGATATTCATAGAACCTCAGGTTTATAATGTTGATGCTTTCGACAGGTTTTGAATCACCCATTGAATGGGAGGACCGCCAGAGCATTTTTAGTGCTGATGGTGCAGATGTCCAATTTGCGGTTGGTGAACTTATCTTTCTAGATATAATTGATAAATTTGAACAGTCAGACGTGTATCCAAGACATGTTGCTTCTTAATGATTTATCATTCCAAAATTTGTTTAGTGATTGCTTTCGCTTTCTCAGGGTGCCCAAACCGAAAGTTTGCCTTATGTATATTACACACCTAGCTATGGATATTCACAGTCTCCATACAATCCTTACATGTCTAGTGCTGTAATGGGTGATGGCCCACTTTTAGGGGCAGAGCAATATTACCCTATTCCTCCTTTTCCAAATCCTGTATCACCGACTGCTTATGTTCCTGTCATCATTCAACCAGATGGAATTCCAAATAGTTCAACAGAATATTTGCTTGATTCTCGTGCATCAGTCGCTAATAGACCTGATGGAAGGGGAGTTAAACATAACCCTGCTTCAGCATCTGCAGCTTTTTCTAGGAACTCTTCAAAGTCTTCTCCAAATCAGTCTGATTCCTTTACCAGGGTATCGGATGGGGCAAGTAGGCATTCTGCAATCCATGGAAAATTTCCAGATAGTTCTCGTCCAGCTCCAACACACGCTCATCAGGTGCGTTTGGTTAGTTTCTAGTTTAATTTTATATTGAATTGGACTATATTGAACATTTTTATGGAAATGCTATAGCTTCACATCACCCTTATTTGAAGGTTCTTATCCAGTAATTATCTTTGTAGGGTAGAATTGCTTCTGGTTCCATTCAGTCTACTGGCAATATTCCTGGTGGGAAATTTCCATCTCATCGTAATCAATTACAAGTGGATCTTCCCGGTAATACCTTTCCAAACTATGGATCAACTGCTACTGGACGTGGTGCACTGGATAAACTTCGATCTAATGTCCATGTTGGCAGGGTTCAGAATGATGCACATGGTTTCCCAGATACATTGGGAGAACAAAATCGAGGCCCTAGAACTAACAGATTAAAAAATGAATTCACGGTTAAAGCCTACACAACTAAAGCAGGAAATACCGATGCTGAAGGGAACATTGTTATCTGTACTGACCAATATAACAAGGATGATTTTCCAATTGACTATATTGATGCAAAGTTCTTTGTAGTAAAATCTTATAGTGAGGATGATGTACACAAGAGCATCAAATACAATGTTTGGTCATCTACACCCCATGGAAACAAGAAACTGGGCAGTGCTTTTGAAGTTGCACAAAAAATAGCTGCAGAGGAACCTAATGGGTGTCCAGTCTTCCTGTTCTTTTCGGTGAGTTCTATTCCGATTTTGGTACCAAGGGACTTTAATTGATTCAGACTATTCTAAGATTTTTTTTAAATTGAAGTGGTTATGTAATTTCTGATATTCATTTGACCACTCCTATGTTGTACTTTGTACACACAGGTTAATGCCAGTGGACAATTCTGTGGTGTGGTGGAGATGATCGGTTCAGTTGACTTCCAGAAGGATATGGATTTTTGGCAGCAAGATAAGTGGAGTGGAAGCTTCCCTGTCAAGTGGCACATCATTAAAGATGTTCCAAATAGCCACTTTAGACGCATTATATTAGCGAACAATGAAAGCAAGCCAGTGACCAATAGCAGGGATACACAAGAGGTATGTACGGAGGTTTAGTTTTCTTCTATTTGAAGGGAAACTATGAACATAGAAACTATTTCACCATTTTTTTAGAAGATTATTTCTCCAGAGTCCCGACATGGCAATCTGGGCTTGTGAATTTTGATATATTTATTCCTGTATAATAATCTTCATAAGATCGGCATGTTATGTTGCGTCTCATAAAATGTCTCCTCAACTGCAGATAATGTTCAAGCAAGGTATGGAGATGCTGAAAGTATTCAAAAATCATTCAATGAAGACTTCTTTACTTGATGACTTCATGTACTATGAAAATCGTCAGCAAATCATGCAAGAAGAGAAAGCCAGGCTACTAATGAAAAACTTTGAGAATCCAGTCCTAGCACCGACATTGGATGTTGCCAATAAGCTAAATTTTGAATTACTACTGAATGACAATGAGAAAGATACCAAGCGAAGTGATCCCGACATGTTGAAGAGAACTGTTCCTTCATCTAGTCAGCAGGTTTCTTCAGATTCTGATATGACTAATGCAAGAACTATGAATGAAAACGTAGAGCAAACTTCTGTCAACGCCAACAACAACGCATCTGCATTAAAGATTGGTTCGCTCTCAATAAATCCAAAGCAGGATGAGTCTAAGCCCTCTGTAGATACTGTAGTTCATTCAACAAACACCGATGCTGTAGAGATTGTGACAGTAGGATCTATGCCAGTGAAAGTCAATAGTTTTACCGAATCTTCTGGTTTTCTAACTGTAGGTACTATTCCTCTTAATCCCAAGACCCTACTGGCTGAAGGAGGTAATTCTTCTAAAATGGGTAGTAATCGCGGGAAGGCTAATGACTAACCGGTGCTTATTTTTTCGGCTTGAACATGCTGCAAATGTGGTAGTTATGGTGCAGTCTTGACTGTTGTAAAACTGAGTGTATCATCATACTGAATTGTTAAAGGATGGTTAAACAAAATACTTGTTCAGGTCAGCTTTTGCTGTTTATCACCCCACTCTCTGTAGAAATGTGTTTGTTTTTGCTAGATGCTGTATCATCTGTGTTTCCTGTTGAAATCGATTGTAAGATAGGTTTTAGTTGAAATTGTTATATATATATATATATATGGTTGGATGCAAAATCAAAGCAGGTGCATTTATGCTTCAGTTTCATGATGCTAGTAGCCTATGTGGGCATATGCAAACCTGAAGACAAAGACTTTTAACTTTTTGCAAGAGGCTAAAATTTACAGATGACGTTTCAAGGCTTAGTTTGGACCTTAGATTTGGTGGGGGACCCAACACTCAAAAATCTCTTTCTTTACCTTATCATAGAACTACTTAATTTTATCATCCAACACAACAGAGCAGAGCAGAAACAACGGCGTCTTTGGCTCAACAATTCGAAGGACTAAAATGTTCACCACTCTCATCTTCTCGTTTTTCGGTGAAACCAAAGAAAACCCGGAAAGTGGGTGCTTTTGCTTTTCCCATTGTTTCAGCCGTTGCTGATGCCCAGACCAAAGCCAGGCTTGAACTCAAGCAGGTGTTCGACGATGCCTATGAACGCTGTCGTACTGGAAGGTATTTATTTTGACGATTTTGAGACTGCCCTTGAAAATTATGACTTTGATTCTGAAATCGGAACCAAGGTTTGATTTTTCTTCTGCTTTTATCGAATTCAACATATTGAAGTTTATCCCTATTAGCTTTGGAATGGGAATTATTAGCAGATCGTGTCGGTAACGCGAATGTTTGTAATAGCAATAGGAAAATGGCACGTGTTTTTCAGGTGAAAGGAACAGTTTTCTGCACTGATGCTAATGGGGCATTGGTTGACATTACTGCAAAATCTTCAGCATATCTATCAGTCCAAGAGGCCAGCATTCATAGAATCAAACATGTCGAGCCTGGACGAATTTGTGATTATCGGTGAACTCGAGGCGGATGATAGCTTAGTCTTGAGCTTAAGGTCCATTCAATGTAAGCTTTCCTCGGAAAGAATGCAGGCAGCTTCAAGCTGAGGATGTTGTTGTGAAGGGTAAGATATGTATTCCGTGCCCAACTGAATTGTATCTTCCGCTCATACGTATTTGTGTCCGATGCTCTTTAACTGATTGATTGATATGTGCGTGTAGATCGTAGGTGGAGGGTCTTCGAGGATTTGTTCCTTTCTCGCAGATATCATCAGTTAGTTCTATGATCTCCCAACTGCATATTTTTAGGACGCTCTGTTACTAATTTCATGTCGCATCAGAAATCTAATGCGGAAGAGCTTCTCGATGAGGAGCTGCCTTTGAAGTTTGTCGAAGTTGACGAGGAACAGTCGAGACTCGTCCATGGCTGACAGTCAGGCACAGCTAGGACTTGGATCAGTCGTGCTCAGAACTGTTCAGAGCCTGAAACCTTACGGTGCATTCATCGATATCGGTGGAGTGAACGGCCTTCTTCACGTGAGTCAGATCAGTCACGATCTCGTTTCAGACATAGCTACCGTTCTTCAGCCCGGGGACACCTCAATCAAGTTCACTCTTTCAATGCTTCATAGAAATATATTTTAGACAGCATCATACTAAATGATATACAGGTCATGATATTGAGCCACGACCGTGAAAGAGGCAGACTAAGTCTTTCTACGAAGAAACTCGAGCCCACCCCCGGAGACATGATCCGCAATCCGACTCTTGTTTTCGAAAAGGTCAGTGCTGATAAAATCTCTCTCTGACATATGTATCCTAAGACAATTATCAAACATGTTTCAATTTTTTTTCCTGACAGGCTAAAGAGATGGCTGAGACATTCAGGCAGAGAACAGCTCAAGCGGAAGCGATGGCTCATGCCAACATCCTTCGATTCCAGCCTGAGGTGCGATTTATAAGTTACTAAACTGACGTTGGCTCATGATTTTTTGGTTGAACTAAACCTTTCCCATGCTTTTGTGGTTTAATGTTGCAGAGTGGGTTAACTAAAGTGGTGATGGTGAATTGGGTCCTTTCTTGTTCTTTTTCGATCAACACTCTGCAAAGAATCTGGTTGAGGCTCCTCAACGAGCTAATCATCTTTGCACTAGATTTCTTGAGTTTTCACCAAACTTGCAGCATTGTTTAGAAGACGACGGCCACTGATACAAATGAAGTTCCAAAGTAAGCTACATTTGCAGGCAAATCCACAAACTTCGTTCAATCTTGAAATATCGAAAATAAAAGTGCATTTCCTAGAATCTATCAATCATGATGGAGACTTAAGGGAGACCAGTACCTGAGATATCAATATGCTGCCATATACACTCCTTATGATAGAATTATTCTTTTAATTTTGTCATTCTACATTGTACGTTATACATGTGCATCTAGAATTATAGACTTCAATCCAATACCTTAATGATGGAAAGCTCCCATTGAAGCTTCAGATACCCTGTGAAAATGATGAAAGAACATTTAACAGTTACCATTCTCTCTCAAAGATCAGTTGAATTTCTTCGTTGCTTTTTCTTGAAACGATCTTTTGAAAACATTGTCTTCAACACCGGCAAAAGTCGCATAAACTATTATCGGCTTTGGTGATAATCAGAGTATGAAATTACTCAATGTCTAGAATGGTTCCTCGGGATGAAATTTTTACCATCAATTACAACCCGAGGTATGTGGGAAATCTTGGACCATTCTCGTCCTTTAAATCTCGTGCATTCTTCTTTTAGCAACGGACATCTGTCAATAGATAGACACCCAAGAGAGAGAAGCACGTCTTTCCCAAGAAGAGATGTGAGCTTAGGACAATTGCATATTCCCAATTCTTCAAGACAAGTGAGGTGTTGAAAACCCTTGGAGCACATGAATTCCAGATTCTTGAAATTTGAAATCCGGATTGATCTGAGCGAAGGAGGAAGCGTCATTCCTCTACTTTCTTCTGGAAACGACACCACATTTGAGCATCCTTCACCACTGATTCTGAGTACTTGCAGATAGGTGAGTCTATAGAATCCCCATTCAACAAGTGAGCTATAAACTTCGGGTGCCCCGGAGATTTCAAGTGTTGCGAGACCGGTAGGGAAACCCTCTTCCGGAAAGGATATGTGAGACACCCTTAACTCGCGAAGGGAGGTGAAGCTGTTGATGCACTTCGGAAGGGCTCCAAAATTTTCACAATTCATAATCTTAACAACCCTGAGATTTGTGGAGGGCAACCCAATTTCTTTAAAACAAGCCACCAGATTCGAACAATCTCGTAGAGAAATCTCCTGGAGATGTCTGAGCTTGTCTAATCCTGACGGTAAAGATTTAATACTTTGAACTTCCCGAATTTGAATAATTTCGAGATCAGTGGTTTCATGCAAGTCTTGGGCCACGCATTCCAACACCCAACACCCCGAAATAGATAGCCTTTTAAGCATTACGGGTAACTTGGAATTCAGAAATAAGCTACTCAACTTTGGGCAGCCGTAAATTCGGAGATGTTGAAGCCGATTGCATATATCAGCCCTTGATGATAACCATATTAGAGATGAACAGCCTCTCACTTCCAAGTGCTCAAGAAGACAAGTGTTACTATCCATGCTCTCGTCAAACAAATATTGTAAACTATCACAATCCCGAATCCTCAGTTCCTTTAGTGCAGGGGGGAAGTTACTCTGTGCAAAGAAACCAAGCTTGGACATTTTCGAAGATTCATTCTTGTAAGGGATGTGAAAGCATGCACCACTTTTGGTAGCAAATTGGAATCACCAGTTCCAAACACTGTCGGGTTTGCAAACCTCAACATTCTCCTCTCAGATGCAATACTGAACTTTGAAATGCTTTAAAGAGTCGCACTTTGCAAAGAGGCAACCTCCTCCACTGGTGAAGAAGATGAGCATTCATCCACCAATTCTTCACACCCTTTGACGCTTAATTCACGCAGTGATGGAAAACTTGAAATTGAAACTACTAACCTCCTGCACTCTTCGATTTCGAGTCTCTGCAAGGATTGAAGATGGATTGGCAAGCTTCCCACCAATCGAGGACATTGTCTGATCGAAAGACGACGAAGGCTCGGAAACATGGAAACTTGCTCATCACCTTCACAAGCGTCCCACTCCTCCCACTTCGGTAGATTCCAAAAGGACAAAGTCTCTAAAGATGCAAATGCAATTGATTGATTTTCTCCAAAGCACTGGGTACCAATATTGCGCACCTCATCCAAACCATCAATTACAAGGCATTTTAACGATGGCAACCTTCCAATCGGTGGTAGAGATTTGTAGTGTTTACAACTGTGTAGCTCCAAAGATGACAAATTCCTCAAAGAAGAATCGGTTATCCAAGTAAGGAACTTTGCTCCAAAGAAGAGTAACGAGAACGATGCGAAACCAACTGCTGCTTATTGTCTTCCAGTCTGCAGCATATATTTCCTGCAACTAATTGAGCCAAATCGTGCATAAGGTCGTGCATGACAAATCGAGATTTTTCTTTACTAGATATCTGAAAAAATGACCTTGACACTAGATCTTGAAAATATTGTTTTCCAATATCTTTAATTAGATGTTTAGCCTTTTGTTGCAAGAAGCCTTCTGCCCTCCATAATAAGATTCTTTCTTCTTCTTTGAATTCGTAATCTTTTGGAAATATGGAGCAGTATGCAAAGCAACGTTTCAAATGAGAAGGAAGATGATGGTAGCTCAATCGCAGTGCAGGAATAATGCCACATTGATTTTCTGGCAGGTCCCATATCTCGCTCTCATAAATTCTTTCCCATTCATCAAGAGTCTTAGTTGTACGTAAGAAGCTTCCAATGGCTTTTGCTGCTAAAGGTAACCCGTTACACCTTCTCACTATATTCTCTCCAACTTGTTTAAATTGGAGATGGCCATCGAAATTCCTTGCTCTTAAAGCATGCTGACAGAATATGGACAAACATTCATCCTGTGATAGTTTATCCAAGAGAAAAGCTTTCTTTGGATCCACAATAGATGAAACATTTTGATGTCGAGTGGTTACAATGATCTTGGTCATTGCTCCAAAGGGAGACCGCAAGATGGTCCAGTCATCGTAACTATCATTCCAAAGGTCATCTAAAATAAGTAAGACCTTTTTTCCAGATAACTTTTCCTTCAAGTTTGAAGTAGATTCAAGTCATTCTCATCAGGTGAGGAACGATCGATGGATTTCAAAATAGTTTTGGTTATTTTGACAGCATCAAAATCATCGGAAACGCATACCCAAGCCCTGTCATCAAAAAACTCCTTGATGCTGGCATCATTGTAGACAAGCTGAGCAAGAGTTGTTTTCCCCATCCCTCCCATGCCAACAATGGAAAGGACTGAAACTTCATCGGAGTTATTAGTTTTGAGCAAATCAATCATTTCTCGCTTCTCGTTGTCTCTACCAACATACTCCACAGCTCCGTCCATAAGGGAAGTAGGTTGCAGTCTGGCCTTTTTTTTTCGGTCGGAGCTTTCAACTTTAGGCAAGATCTCACTCAACCCCAAACTACTTCTTCGTGTAGACAGACTGTTGAGTCTAGCAGTGATCTCCTTTATCTTGGGAATCATGGCATTTTTAAACAAAGATGAAGACGGAGTGAAATCACCACCGGTACAGCAGGTAGGAAGGAGTTTTCGTACCTTACTAGTGCTGGCTTGAACCTGAGCCTGAGTTGTGTGTAGCTTGAGACGTAACTGTTCATAAGCAAACTCGTCCAGGATATCATCCGCATCGTAAGCCAAGTCTTGGAGATCTTCCAACCAGCTCTTCACACCATCTTCCTTGATTTGCTTCTCCTCAGCGTGGTTTAGCACAGCTTTGATATCAGGGAATATAGATTTCCACTCCTTGAGCTGCTCGTACAGTTGCTTGTGATCAGCAACAAAGTTGAGAGCAGCATCGATGGACTTGGCAAGCAACACGTCCAGAAGCTTAAAAAGAGCAGCCTCTCCAATAAAAGCCATCGTTGGGTAACGAGAAAGAAAGTGAAGAGAGAAATGATGAATGAGCAAAAGTTAAGAAGAAGATATGGATTGAGTGGTAGTGGTGAAAGTAAAACTAATTGGGATGCTCCCAAAACTTGGGATGCAATTGTCACCAGAAAATTAAGATGGAATTTCACCAAGAATAGCGACACTTTCACATCAAATGTATCCCACCCTTCATTTACAAAATTAAACATTTTATAATTTAGAAATTAAGATTCATGATTAGAGATAAGAAACCTTAAAAAAAATAAAGCTTTTATTTATAACCTTTTTGGTATTCAATTGATTGACGAAAGTACAGGGGATTTTTGTCATATATGATTGGTAGGTTACACATAGTTAGATGTTTAACCGATTGACGATGATGGTGGCAGCAGGCGATAGTAAAGTGATTAAAATTAAATTTTTAAAAGTTTTAATTTTTTTAAAGATTTGATTTTTTTAATTTTTTAAGTTAATTTTTATTTTAAAATTTTTTTTTAACACTAAAACGTTTTTCGAAAAATAGTTTAGACACTTATTTTTGAGTACATGATATTTTCTCTTTGAATTTGCTCGTGAAAATAGTTTTTTTTGGCAGTTTTAATGTTTATTACCTATTGAACGGTTGATATTAAGTAAGCAATTCTCATATTTGGTCCACCATATTTCCGACCAAAATGCATCAGTAAATTGATACTAAGGGGCTGTTTGTTTGCTTCTTAATAAAATCATTCAGTGCTGAATGTTGAACTATTTAGCATTCAGTGTGTTTGTTTCACACATCTGAATGATTCAGTACTGACTGATTCAGCAAAATAGTGACGAATGATTCAGCACAGAAGTACATTCTGAATAATTCAGAGTCATTATCAAACATCATGTTACATTCAGAGCTAATTCATACAGAGCCTCTGAATCATTCAGTATTTGAATCATTCAGCGCTTAATCATTCCGATGTAAACAAACAACCCCTAACTTGGTTATAGAAATTCAATCGAAACTGTTTTTACGTATCAAAAAAATATATATCTTACCAGAATCGAAGAAATTAATATATATCAAATCAATAGGTATGAAAATTTAAATTTTATCCTAAAATAATAGTGTTGATATTTTGATCACTCGACTTTTGAATTGATTTATTTTTTTAATTTCAGCGTTGACCATTGAACGACGTTATGACAAATCATACGTATATAAATTTATGAAAAGTCTTTAAATTTTTTAAAATTTGTGAAAAAATGCTTATGAAATTTTCTCAAAGTCTTTAACCTATTTTTTTTGGATTTTCTTTCGTCTTTCAATGTTAGAGTATTTTCTTCTAAATTCAATAGATCATAATCGCTATTGTCTGAGTTGTACGTTGAAGTTCCACAAATTTTCATACTAATAAAATGGTGACGAATTTACTAATGTCTGGAACGATTACAATGATGATGATAAGACGAGTTCACTAATAAAATGGTGATGGGTTAAACAGCATGATATGAGAATTAAATTCTAACAATTTTATTAGAAAGATGATGAATTGGGGAGGAAGAAACAAATAGGGTAAACTACACGTTTAGTACTAAACTATCACTTTTGTTCTATTTTAGCACCTAAACTTTTAATATTTTCAAAATCATACTGAAGTTTACTTTTTGTTTCATTTTAGTATCTTCCGTTAAAAATTTAGGTACTAAAATGAAATAAAAAGTAAACTTTAGGTATGATTTTAAAAAGTGTTACTTTAAGTACTAAACATGTAGTTTACCCAAAACATAAGTTATGTGGCTTCCAAACCAACTAAGACATGTGATATAACTTTTTTAATTTAAGATTAAGTTTTTAAAAATCAAAAAATTAAATTAAATAATCAAAATAAAAATACGATCAGAATTAAATGATAGAAATCATAATTACCCATATCTTATCCTAGTTTCGAGATGCATGTTCGACATGTTGAGATATGGAAGCATGTTGTATCTCAATCGGTTGGACCAAATCCCATCAATTCAGTGGTAAGGACTAAAGACATTCTTAAAGCCTATGAAAGGGTGTTCTGAAGAAGAAAAAACAACGTAACCCTAACTGGTAGACATGCCCCCATGTTTGGTCCCTCATAAATGTCATATTCACCGATCACAATGGAAATGGATTATGGGTTTCGATTCCCCTATCTTAAGGTCATCGAGAGACACCCAACAGTCGCCATGCACCCTGCATTAAGGGATGAGCTTAGGTGGGACGGGTGAGAATGATTGTTTACTGAAAATTTAAAATTATCATATATTTTAGATTTGTTAGGACCATTAATCTAAAGTGTCAATCTTGCAGAAGAATGAGAACAAGGATCTCATAGGGTTTGTTTTCATTTACAATACTTTCTTCATTCACATTACTCAAAACAAAAATGCAGTTTTTTTTTTTATTTTTGATTAAATATAATTTTGGTCCTTCTATCACGGCTAATAGACCGAGAGGGTCTATAGAGGATAATCAATCTCTAAAAATTTAAAATTTTCGTAAAATTTAAATATTTTTTTGTATTTTTAATCGATAATTTATTGTCAATCCCTTTAAAATTTTATAAGTTCTCATTCTAACATAAAATCATATATTCATTCATACTCTCTTGTATGCTTAGGATTGAGATTTATAAGTTCGTATTCTAAAAAAAAATCCCAAATTCGAATATCATAATTCGACTTCAAAGTGCCACTGAATTTAAAGGAAAGTGTCCATTTTACCAAGTATCTCGATACAACATTTTCTTTTAACCTGTAAACAAAAACTATGGAAGGTTTGAAGGTTTTACTGCCAAAATTGCAGGGAATCAAAATGGTGTCTAATAACCAGGACGTTCATTTTCTGAAAAGTTGAAGGCGGCTGTCACCAAGCTGGAGAGAATATGACGCTTTTTTGTATTCACCCCATGTGAAGGGCCTATACAGCAAAGGGCTATGGGGTGTGACCAGTTCTGGAGGGGCAGTGACGCTTGCTTGCAGTGGTGGTGCCCCAAAGTAGGCCATTGACATCCTTGGATTGTTGATGTTGGTCAATACTCTGTGCCTCACGCTCATGAATCTCCCATTGGTCATTGCCTTCAAGGAATAAAAGTTAGTATATTCAACTTAATGAGGACCTAAGTCGTAATTAGACACTTTTAAAGTATTATTGGTAGATTCCAATTTATACTATAAAAAAAACTTAACTACTAAATTAAACATTGAAAAGTACCAATATTATGGATTTAAACTAATTAATAACACAATGAAAAGTAAGCGATAAAACTATAATAGAAAGGCTGAAACCTAAATTCTAATACAATAGAGGGGGTAAAACCATAATTAGATCAAAACAAAGCATAGCTTCAAAATCTGTATATGTTCCCTCCACGAGTTCGAACCTAGACATGCAAAGTACTTTTCAAGCTTGCGTTCAGTGTTCCCCTAACTCTGAAACATCTTGTCACCTATGTCCCAAAGATTGTTTCTAGAATCTCTCTCTCTCTCTCTCTCTATATATATATATATATATATACATACATATATTGGTAAACAAACTGTCAGCAAAGCTACATGATATCCCATAGTAGCTTATTAAGCAACTTAAAATGGTAAATACAGCCCAGCAAACCAGAAAATTACCCAGAATCCCTTTCAGTGTTCATTGGATAACAACTGATATGTGGGGCACTTTTCCCTTTCACAGGGCAGGTTGTACAGTGGATTTCCGATGCATTTATCAGTTTCCATCAATCCATTATCACCCTTCCTTTTTTTCTCTTTAGTGGGTCTCTCTAAAAAATAATATTTGGTTTAAATTATTCGATATTCGATCCTACCCGAAAGAGGAGCGTAGAGTGGAATACCTGTAAAACATCACCTACGTTGACACAAAAGGCAGTAGGGTCAGGAGGGACAGGGACCCAAACAGCATCAGCTACACGAATCTGCAGGCCAGCTACGTCGTTGGATCTCAAGATGGTCAAGATCTGAGGGTCGGTATGCTCCCCGAACCCTACAGCACCGGTGGTGCAGTGATGGAATGATGAAGGTGGATAGTGATTGAGCCTGAAAAGTGAGTCACTTTCTATGTCCCTGATCATCTTGCTGAACAGTGATTGATCTTGGACCCGCAGTTCCTCTGCCATCAGATCCAAGAGATCACATGCTAGCCCTCGGACAGCTCGTACGTAAACGTTCACCACAGAGCTACACAGAATCGGGTTAACCCATCATTAGTAGCAGTAATAATAACTTTGCAATATTTAGGGGTTTCGTCTATTTATGGGTTTCACTCCTTTTCATGTAGTTTTATTCATTTCGGTCCTTTTTTTAATCTTTTGATTTGATCAGATCTTAGCTTCTCTGGTGCCCTCTGACTTGTCATTTTGATCCTTTGATGTCATCAGTTCAATAAAAACACATTACTATTTTCCTTGATGTCCATGGCGGTACATCTATAGAGCCTAATCTAAGAGAGGATGTGTGTTATGCACGTGAATGAAGAGGCGAGTGGGACTAGACAACAGCTAAGTGTCTCTGACATGATATCCCATATTTGTCTAATTACAATTTTAGTACCTCAACTACGTTGATGATTTAGTTTTCATTTTTCCTTGGATTAATCAATTTTTTTAATGTTATTGGTACAACTAGTAACTTGGCATTGCAGTGCCAAACAAATAGAGCAGAAATACAGAGGCAATATATACCCCAAAAGAACCATAATTTCATTTCATGGTAAAAAAGAGAAAGAAGAGTAATTCATTATGGGAATTTTGAATGGCCACAACAATAGCAAAATATAGTACTCATTTTCCATTTAAAGCAACGGATGATTGGGAGTTGAAGGCGATGTGGGATATCGAATGAGAACAACATAAACAACTCATCAACTACCTCACGTTCATGGATTCATTATATATTCATATTGATTATATATATATATATATATATGGATATAACTTATTCATATACAACTAAACTAAACATGCATTAATATTCAAAGCAGGAAGAAAACTTGAACGAGAGAAAAAACGATGATTACCAGAACTTTTGGAGGTCACCGGAGATGGTAATGGAGCTCTGAGGAATGGACAGAGGATTGGTATGAAGAAGAAGGTATTCAACTTCACCAATATCGCCATTGAAACCGATGTTCTTACGACCATATCCATAAGGTACGGCCGGCCCGGCTCTTTGCTTTTCGACATCCGGCATCATAAAGAAGTTGAGACCTTCTTCTTCCATTGCCGCGATGGTTTCCTCCGGCACTCCATGGTTGATCACCTTGAAGAAACCGTACTCCTCGCACGCTTTCGTAATGAGCTTTGCGACCTCCGTTCTCTCGCCCGAAAGGTTTATCACCGGAAGCTCTATGGCCTCCGGCTTTTCGGCTCGACTCGGGTTCGGTGAAGCCACCACCATAGCTACGGACGCCGAGAACAAAAGCCCAAGCTTTTTTTCCCTCCTTTTAATGGCGACGATAAACAAATTCTAATATATGAAAAGGATAGTATTGCATGTGAAAGAGGAGAGCAAAAAGGGACTGTAACAAGAAAGGATGGAACCGGAGAGAAATACGACGAAGAAGAAGGGCAAAGGTTGTGTTTTCAAAGATGCGTGAGTGTCCACGGTATTTATAGAAAATATCAAAAAATCCCAAAAAAATATTTGTTGCGGAAAACGACTATCGGATAAAATAAAAATGCAACTGATAATTTGAGAAAATAAAAATTATAGATAAAAGAGATACAAAATTTACGTGAAAAACCTCTAAATAATATAGAGTAAAAATCACGGGCAACGGTAGAAGAATTTCACTATAAGAAAAATAGGAATTACAATCTCTCTCGATCTACCAATGAAAAAACAATGATAATTCTCTCTTGATAAAAAGAAGAAAACAACTCTTAAGAAACTCTCTAAATTCTCTCTAGTATTGGAAGAAAGCTAGAATGTTTTGAGATGATTTTGAAACTAAATGAGCTAGGGTATTTATAGTTGAAACTTAAGGACTAATTTATAAATACCCTAAATTATAATAACTAAAAATGATTTTACCATTTTTCAAATTTCAACCAAAAAATTGGTGCATTAATTATACCACCTAAAGTTGTTTTTGGCCATGTGGCCAACTTGGCTTTTTCAACAATCTCCCACTTGAAGATTTAATTGGAACAATCATATCTTCACACCATTCTTTCTACCTTAGACCATCATGTTGCTTACGTCTCTGACAGGCCATAGGAGGATCGACACAAGGTAAATTTATCAGCGTTGATCGCCTTCGTCATGATATCTGCTATGTTGTCATTGGTATGGATCTTCTGCATATCTATTGTCCCTTCTTCCACCTTTTCACGAATGAAATGGTACTGAACTCGTATGTGTTTTGTCTTTGAATGAAATGATGGATTCCTTGCTAGATGCAAGGCGCTTTGACTGTCACAAAACAGAGAGACATACTCTTGATTGTGCCCAAGCTCCTCTAATAGCATCTTCAACTAAATTGCTTCTTTACTGGCTTGTGTAGCTGCTACATATTATGCTTCTGTTGTTGACGTAGCCACAACTGACTGCAATTTTGAAACCCAACTTACAGCTCCACCAGTAATTTTGAACACATATCTTGCAGTAGATTTGCTTTTATCCAAATCACCTGCATAGTCAGAATCGACATACCCATTGATAAGTAAGTTTGATCCTCTGTAATATAATTCAATATTTGAGGTCCCTTTGATGTATCTTAGGATCCTCTTCAATGTATTCCAATGCTCTTTGCCTGGATGGTCTTGTGCATATTATAGCTAACATTAAACTTCCCACTGCCGATGCATACGGTACTCGAGACATCTTCATCCTCTCTTCTTCACTGCTAGGACTCATACTGGAGGATAATTTGAAGTTAATATGAAGAGGAGTAGAAATTGGCTTACAATCTTACATGTTGCATAGTGACAAGATCTTCTTCAAGTAATTCTTTTGTGAAAACCAAATCTTCCTATTACTTCTGTCTCGGTGAATTTGCATCCCTATAATCTTGTTTGCTGATCCCAAGTCCTTAATTTCAAATTCCCTAGCCAGTTGTACCTTCAATTCTTCAATATGATCTTTGCTGGGTCCTGCAACCAACATGTCATCCACATACAACAGCAAAATAAAAAAATCGTTATCACCAGACCTCTTGAAACAAGCACAAGGGTCTGCATTAAGTCTGTTGTATCCAAAGCACATAATGAAAGAATCAAATCTCTTATACCAACACCTCGGCGCCTGCTTTAGACCGTACAAAGATTTGTTCAACTTGTAAACCAAGTTCTTCTTTTCTTTTTCTTCAAAACATTCAGGCTGGAGCATATAAATTTCTTTTTCAAGATTTCCATGAAGAAAAGTTGTTTTAACATCTAGCTGCTCTAGATGTAAGTCCAATGTAGCACACATTGCCAAAACTACTCGAACTGTTGTTAGTCGAACCACAGGTGAAAATATTTCATTGAAATCAATACCTTCTTTTTGAGCATATCCTTTGACCACCAGTCTTGCACGATACCTCTCAACTTGATCGTCACCATTTCGCTTGATTTTGAAGACTCATTTCTTACCAATTGGCTTCCTTCCTTGTGGTAGTGGCACAATGTCCCATGTATTATTTTTTATGAAGGGCTTCAATTTCTTCTTGCATCGCCATCATCCACAGTGAAGCATATGAGTTGTTTATTGCCTTCTGGTATGTTGATGGCTCACCGTCCTCTGTTAAAAGGCAGTATACAATATTACCTTCTATAACATAATCTGAGTGTCAATTAGGACGTCTTCTCACACGATCTAATTGACGAGTTGTTGGAGCTTCAGAACTCTCTGGTTCTTGTTCATCATGTGCTGGTTCTACTTCAGAAGAATCTCCTTGTTCAAACTGTTTTTCCACATGTATCTGAGTAGTCTCTGACTTTTCAGCGCTATTATCATCTTCTTTTCTTTGTAGTTTATCTTCTACAAAGATAACATCTCTATTGATGATCACTTTGCGGGCAGTGGGATCCCACAAGCGATACCCCTTTACTCCATCAACATACCCCAAGAATTTGCATTTCCTGGATTTTGGATCCAACTTTGAAATTTCTTGGGAGTTGTACATCACGTACACAATACTTCCAAATACATGGAGGTTTGAATAATCAGCTGGTTTACCAGTCCACATCTCCATTGGTGTCTTCAGCTCTATTGCAGTTGATGGAGCTCGATTCAACAAATAACAGGCGGTATTGACTGCTTTTACCTATAATGATTTTTCTAGGCCCGTATCCCTCAACATTGCTCTTGTTCTTTCTAACAAGGTTATGTTCATCCGCTCTGCCACTCCATTTTATTGAGGAGTGTTCGCCACTGTGAACTGTCTTTTGATGCCTTATTTCCTACAAAAGTCATCAAATTCTTCACTTGTATATTCTCCTCCATTATCTGTTCTGAAACACTTGATCTTATTTCCAGAATCAAGTTCCACCTGCGCTTTGAAGATTTTGAAAGTTGAAAACACATATGACTTTTTCTTAATAGGGGTACACCCAACATCTCCTAAAGTAGTCATCAATAAATGAGACAAAGTACTTTGCTCCGCCTAGGGATTTAACTGGTGCTTGCCATACGTCAGAGTGAACCAATTCTAGAACACTTTTGCCTCTAGAATTTGACGTATTAAATTTCAACCGGTGCTGCTTACTTGTTATGCAATGCTCACACAAAGTAAGTGATACATTCGTTAAGCCTGGAAGTAGCTTTTGCTCCACAATGACTTTCATTCCTTGTTCTTACATGTGTCCAAGTTTCTGATGCCATAGCATTGCATAATCTGAACTACATGAGGCAACAGAGGTTCCTGCTTCTAGCAAAGTCTCTCCCTTCAGCATGTACAAGTTTGTTGCTATCTTTTCACCTTTCAACACCACAAGCGCTCCACGGAACACCTTCATGATTCATTTCCATGTTTCAATCTTGCTTGCATTATTATCCAACAATCCATAGGATAATAAATTTTTCTTCAGGCCTTTCACGTGCCGCACATCTCGAACAACTTTGATTGTTCCATCATACATCTTCAATTTGATGGTTCCCACGCCAACGATCTCTAAGGCATGATCATTGCAACTATACACAGATCCTCTTGAGACAGGTTTATAATGATAGAACCATTCTCTTCTTGAGGTCATGTGATATGTTGCTCCTGAATCAATGAGCCATATATCTGTATATCTTTTTCTACCTTCCACGGTGGTTGACGCTTCACAGCATAGAGCATCTCCATCATCTGAAGTGTTTGCAGTATTGCCTTGTGGAATGGAGTTTTTATTTATACTCCAACAATCCTTCTTCAAGTGACAATTCTTTCCACATTTGTAGCACTTTAAATTCTTCTTGCTTCTCGACTTCGATCTACCATGTTTGTGACTGCTGCTTTGGCCACGTTCTGTTGATCTCCCTCTCGTCGTTGTCAACGCTTTTGCTTGTTGCAGATTTACTTGTCCGTCTTCCTTGTTCTTGCGCCGATTTTCTTCTTGTAGAACAGCAGCTGCAACGTCATCGAAGACTAGACTGGTGACATTACTGTTTGTCAAATTGATGATGAGTTGATCATACGAATCCGGTAGACATTGAAGTAGAAGTTTATCACGTTCTTGTTCTACTATTTTACAGCTTAAGGATGTAAGCTGAGAAAATAAAGTGTTCAGTGTGTTTAAGTGCTCCGTCACTGAAGTAGATGATATTTGATTACCTTTTTAAACAAGTAAATGATATTAAAATTTAATAAAATAATTAAATATATTTATAATGTCTTAACCTTACTATTAAATATGGAAGCTTTTTAAGTTATTTTGGTGAAAAAATAATTATATCCATTTAATAAATTATTGAGTTTAAATCTTATTGAAAAACAATTAACATTGAGAATACTTATTTTTATTTTACTTGAGATTAATATAACACTGATATATCCATTTAATAAAATATTGAGTTATTTTACTAATTTTTATTTTTATTTTGGTCTTCCTTATTTTACGATTATCGATTGTTTTTTAATAGTTTAATTTATTATTGTGTTTCGCTTGTCGATGCAATCACATATGTTCGTATCAAACTTTTGTTCAAACTTTTAGATTAGGATGTATATTTTCTTTGAATGATATGATCTTAAATGATAACTTATTATGTTAATAGTTATAATTACGTGTCCTAATTACATATTAATTGTAATATTAGATATTATTTTTTTAATTAAACAAATGATTTTTATTTGTATAAAATATCTTAACCGCTCAATAATTTTCTAATTAAGGATCAACTTAATTTATTTATAAATTTAATTAAAATTCATTGTACTCATCAAATACTAAAAAAACCTAAATAAAATTTAAATTATTAAAAAATCAATTCATTTTAATATCTAGTCTAGTTAT